CTCTCTCTCTCTCTCTCTCTCTCTCTCTCTCCACCATTTAGTCTAGAAAACATTCTATACTGAATGCTGATGCCATGATGAAACACAGTGTCAGGGGCTAACCTAAGCATCACATCACTGCCCTTCAGACTACCCTCCACCTAACTTACCTAGTTGGGGAGTTAGCCTGCTCTGGGGTGAAAGTAGTGGAAAACTCCATTTGGAGTTAACTAAGTGATAAGGCCACCACACTGACTGCTCACTGTCTGGAAGGCAGAGGAAGGAAGGACTTTGTGGCTGGCTTACCTGAGGGCTCTGACCCTATCTTCCCCGAGTGTCCCTTTGTATGTCCCTGGCCTGTGTGTTGGTTTTCTCCCAGGGGTCACCTCTCTCATGATGGCAAAAACATATCCATAGCCGATCCTGGTATCAAGTCGCCTTCTCCAGGTTCAGAACAGGTTCAAGGTAGCCAGTAAGAACTGTTAGGTTAGAGACCTCTCTCTACACATCAGCAGATATTCCACTGAAGCCAGGGTGGGGCAGTCAGGAGCTGAAGATAGAGCCTGGAGTGTCATTGCCAGTCACCCACTGAACTTCTTGACTTGGGTCCTCAGACACTTCCTTCATGTACATGATTGCGGGCCTCTGCATGCTGAAGCTCTACCAGACCCGCCACCCAGACATCAATGCCAGCGCCTACTCTGCCTACGCCTCCTTCGCTGTTGTCATCACACTTACCGTCCTCGGAGTGGTGGGTCCCCCTCTGCCTGCCTTCAGTCTGCCTCTGGAAAAGTATCCCCTTTGAGCGGGGGGGCGGGGGGGAATGTTGCTTGTTTGTGTCTCTTTGTTGGGCTTTGGGTACATGGATCTGGATCTGTTCATGGCACTCTGGCTGGGTTACAAGCTGATGGTTCTAAACATGTAATAATCACCTGGAAAGCTAGCTGAGGGTGGTTCTTAGACTAAACTGGAGCCCGAGTCATGTCAAAACTGGAATAGGAACACCTAAGCTGCCTGGAGGAGCCAGCCCAAGAGAGAAACCATTTCGAAGTGTGCATGGGCAGCAGTTGCTGGCTGCCTTCAGTCCTTTGGAGAGCATGTACCCCGGCTCTAGACCAGCTGCCCTCCATGGTTGCTCTATTACCATTCCATCTCTTCCTGTCTTCATTTGCCAAATAGCCATTATTTTTTTCCCTGTCCACTGTACAGAAAGATTCCTGTGAGTTTTGAGGTCAGAAAACAAAATGCATGTAGGGCTAGGTGGCTTTGCAAAACATTTCTATTTATTCTTGGACCTGTATATAATGCATCTCAATGGACCTGTATATAACGCATCTCAAATGCATCTACCCCCAATTCCCTCCTCCCACCCCCTCAAGCCACCCCCAACCCCCAGCACATTCCCCTCCCAGCCTTCATGTCTTCTTCATTTTTTTTGTGTTTTTAATAACCCAATGAGTCGAATTAGTGCTGTGTTCTGTGTGCATGGGTGTAAGGCCATCCACCTCAGCATGAGCACTCTACCCACAGCCACGCACCATGTCCCCCAAAGGACTCTCCCTTCTCCAGCAGCTAGCAACCGCCAATAACTCCTCAGCTAGGGGTGGGGCCTCGCGAACCCCTCCCCATGCTCCCTGGAGTGTTGATTGGCCTGATCTCGTGCAGGTCTTGTGCAGGCAGCCACAGCTTCGGTGAGTTCATGACAACTGCCGTGGCATGTCCAGAAGACATCCGTCACCATCCTTCAGCTCCTGTATCCTTGCCCCCCCCCCCACATTGTTCCACATGGCTTATGGCTGGTTGATAGACTGTCCCATTTAGGCCGAATGCCCACAGGTCTCGGTGTGTTGACTAGTTATGAGTCTCTGTATTAGCTGCAGCCCGCTGCAAAAAAAAAAAAAAAAAAAAAAAAAAAAAAAAGTTTTTCTGGCCACAGTTGAGAACAGTGCTCTTCTGTGGGTATAAATATAAATATTCAGAAGGTGATTTGACAACATGTCCTTTAGAAAGAGCTAGTCTTTGTTTGCTTGTCTGTTTGTTTTTTGCTACTACAAGCCTCAGCAAGAGACAGGGGTTTACAGAGTTCTCTGGGGAAACCCCGGATCACGCTCACCCCCATCTTTATCCCTAGGTGTTTGGAAAAAATGATGTGTGGTTCTGGGTCATCTTCTCTGCAATCCATATTCTTGCTTCTCTGGCCCTCAGCACCCAGATCTACTACATGGGCCGATTCAAGATAGGTGAGTAAACAGGGGCACTAACTTCCCCAGGGGAAGCCAGCGCAGGGTCCTCACTGCCCTCCATGACAGTGCTCCTAATCATCATGAGCATGGGCTCTGAACTCCCTGCCAAGTTTGGTTGTCTCTAAGAACGTCTCCCTCCTTATAGGATCTCAATAAACCATCATCCCTATTTCGGTTTTCAGCTGAGAGATGTAGCTTCTCATGCCGCAGAGCTGAGGCACACCTCCACCCACACGCGGGCTGCAAACACTTTACAAACTACCAAAATTTCAAAGATGTTAGTTCAGGTAACAAGTCCCAGGATGGCCAGGGCGACATAGAGAGACACTGTCTCAAAAATACAAAAGGGGAGCCATTAGGGGAGCCATGTGCTCGTTGCACCATGAGCCCTACATCGAGGAACCTTTGCCCACCTGCAGCATTCAAAGGGAGCGTTTCTCTAGTGCTAAGTGGTTGTCCAGAGTGAACCATACCCTGCTTCCAGATAGGAGGACTGAGACTTTTGAGACCAGCTTTCTTCCAGCACTGCTTCCGGCAGTGTGGACTGGCTGCCGTATGGAAAATAGCTTGTCACCTCCTGACGGTCGTCATACACTGGAGGAGGTTCGGGATGTGTTAGAGTATTTTTTTAAGTGATTTTAGCATATAGGAAGTCCTACTCAAGGTCTCATTTGTGTATTTCAAGATAAATCATTATGTTGTAAACATAGACCCGCCGCTAATATTGGCAGAGCCCAGGGAAAGAATGCAAGTAAAAACCCCACAAACAAACCTTGTGAAAATTTCCAGTTATAAAAAAGAATAAAGGATACTAAAAAAGAAGAAAGGAGTGAGGGGTGGAGAATGGAGGGGTGAGGGAGAGAGGGAGGGAGGGGGAGAGGGGGGAGCTAGGAGTAGAGCCCAGTGGTAAAGCATGTCCTTAGAATGTACAAGAGCCTGAATTTGATCCCTAGCACCACCAAAAACAAAAGGAAAGAAAAAAAGGGAGGGAGGGAGGGAGGGAGGGAAAAAAGACAGGGTCCTGAAGGGTAATGGCCCTCAGTTCCAGAGAACAAAGGGAATTTCTTGCTCTTACAGGTTTGGGGGAGAGGGAGTGGAGCCCATGCCTTGTAACCTAGCCTCTGTGTCAGGAAGAGGAAGCCAGGAAGGCACTAGATAGAAGTCAAGTTATAAACTGGACCTGGGTGTCACGGGCCAGGCAAGGGGCTTGGAGACCGCAAGGCCACTCTGTCCTGACAGGCTGTAGGGAGAGGTGACCTGCACCCTGCCTGGAGGGTCCTGGGGAGGGACTAGAGGATCTGTGACCTCACAGCTGTTTCCATGTGCCAATGATTGTGTTTGAGGTCGGTCCACAAGCAGGAGGCTGCATTCGCAGACGGTGGTCCGCCGCAGACAGACGGTGGTCCGCCGCAGACAGACGGTGGTCCGCCGCAGACAGACGGTGGTCCGCCGCAGACAGACGGTGGTCCGCCGCAGACAGACGGTGGT